ATTCAAAGTGATATGGTAGTATAAATGTGGATGTTATTAGTAGAATTCACCTTGGTTGGTTGAAGTGGAGGAATGCCTCGGGCCTATTGTGTGATAGAAAAGTATCACTAAAACTGAAAGAAAAATTTTATAAGATGGTAGTGAGACCTGCAATGCTCTGTGGCGCAGGAAGTTGGTCTTTAATAGAGAAGCATAAAACTAAGTTAAGTGTTGTCGAGATGAAAATGATTAGGTGGATGAGTGGCTTTACACTTAGAGACAAAATGTGAAATGAATGATAGGGTTGGTGTAGGGTGTAGCTCCAGTGACGGACAAAATTAGAGAGAGTCGTCTTAGATGGTTGGTTCACATTAAACGTTAGCCATTTGATGATCTTATTAAAAGAGCAGGTGTTTTAGATTCGACTTTTGTTAAGAAAGACAGAGGTAGATCTAGGATGACTTGGGCATATTGTATAAAAAATGATCTTAATTTATTAGAATTAAATGAAAATATGATACTAAATAGGAAACAGTGGAGAAAAAAGATTCATGTAGCTGACCCACTTAGTGGGATAAAGGTTTTGTTGTTGTTGTTGTTAACAATCTATAATAACCGAGGTTTCATTTTCTTTTAGAATTCTTATTTTCAATCATAATTCTTCTATTCATTATTTGCAAGAACTTCTTGAAATATTATTATTGGGAATTTAATATTATTTTATCTCTAAAAGAAAGGCTTTTGGGGAAGAGAAAATAATGGAAAGTGAATAAAATTGGCTATTGGATGTTGAGTGCATGCCTGGGTTCCCTTATGATGCAATAGAAAGGAGAATAGAATTTTAGGGGTAGAGATCATACCTTCACAATATGGTGATTGATCCAATAAGATATCGAAGGGTTAAGCATGCTTTTGTTCAGCATCAGGCTCTTCTTTCTTTTTTTCTCGAGTATAACCATATTAATGGTTTAGGTTCATTAGATAAGGGTTTATTGGAATTATTGTTTCAGGAGGCTACTTCTATTTGCAGAGAAGTCTAAAGGTAACTTGAAACACTGAGGGTTGGTTGGGTGGCTAGAAGATTAAGATTGAGGTAACCAAAATTGCTTTTACTCAAATGATTCCTCTGAAAAAATCTTGAACATAGAATCCTTGAATTTCAGCAACAGAAATATCCTAAAAGTTTTTATTTATTTATTTTTTTGTCTGGGAGTAGAACTTATATCCTTCTTGATTTGAGTATCCTAAGATGTACTTTAGCTCTTAAATAGAATTTTGTGTTATGATGGGGTTAATGGACATAGGAAACTCTCCCAAGTGTTTTAGTTGAAGCAATACATGTATTTTTGGGGAAAAATCAGAGAGGATTTTGGCGGTGTTTGTTTTGTTGGTAAGGTGACTGAATAAGAATGTGCCAGGAAAATTTCAAAGCATTTTGATCGTAGAGTAGGGCCATAGTGATCTCAAGCAGATAGTTTTTTCTTCCTTCAATCTCATTTACTTGTGGGGTGGGAACTCAAGAGCAATCATGGGTGGTGTCATTCTGTGGATAAAATAGTACAATGCTTGATTAAAATATTTCTTCCCATTATCAAACCTGAAACATACCGTTGAATTAGATAATGATCCTTTTAAGTGATGCTTTATAATCACTATCATTGAATAGGGGCAAGAAACGATCATTATGTGTTAAAATATACACGTAAATACTGTTAGAATTTAATTTAGGAAATAATTCATTCCAGTTGGAACTTATGAGAATTAAATTTATTTCCTTTCCTATTTTATGTTTTATGTTGTTTCTTTTATCTCTAAGTAATTGATATGAATTGATTAATTGGAGATATATGTGTTAATATCTTTCATTTCCTGTTATGTCTTTTTTATTGTCTTACCTATTCTAGGATTCATTTAAGGGTTATTTATACTCCCATTTCATATGAATAATAATATTTATTCTGAACTTCAACAAATAGATAGGATAATCACAACTTCATTATAATCAATAGAAATTATATTTTTAATAGTTTTATTGTCATTATTACAAAAAAATTATATTTTATTGTAATAAAAAATTTATGCATCTTAGCATGCACAGATGTAGAAAATTTAATGAAAATATATGCCATGAAGATTGAAAGATAACAAGTTGATATAAAAAATTTGAGGTAGGATAAATCAAAGATTTGAAGCATAATTCCACCAATTTCCTACAGGCTTCATGATTAAAACAAGGACTTTTAACATCTATGGCAAATAAAAATTTTTAACTTGAGAAAATGTTCACATTCAAAATGACATGAAGAAAAGAAAAATAAAAACATAAAATTAACTTTGAAACCTCATTAAAAAACTTTTAACGGAATCACCTAAATCTATATCAAAAGTACGCACTAATTTTTATAATTTACAGTCAACTCAAGGGTACATTCTATACAAGTATGAATGCATGTATGGTCTCTCGTTCGAACTGAAAAAGTTCACACCTATCAATAGAATTTTGCCTGCAGAGGCTCCAATTGAAATCAACATGGTTGATTTTGAACTTCAACAAGGGAAAACTCTCAAGTGTATTTTGTAAGATTTTATGAAGATTTAGTTGGCCGTTATGCATAAGAAAAAAAAAACCCTATTTTTGTAATTTCTGAAAGTCAAGTCATTGGCCTAATAATAAATCCAAATTATAAAATTTGGCATGTACGTGGAATTTTATTCCGTTTAAGTAAATTATAGATTGGAAAAATAGGTGAAATTGTTATTTATTATCTTGAAGATTTTAATAAAAATTATGAGCATAGCCAATCAATTAGTAAATAACTACACCATCCAATGAATTTTGGTCTAACAAAAAAGATATTTGAAGAGAAAAGCAAAATTTTCAACCAACGTCACTGGATACGATCCTATTGGAAGAAAAGACCACGTTCATGCTCATTTTTTAAACACACACACACACATACATTCTATTTGAGCTATCGAAATCAAAATTAATATCAACCTTATTGCCTTCATGTCCAAAAATTAAAATATATTAACACGAAAATTAATTTAATTACACAAGTGTATGAATTTCAATTGGTATGCTCATGATATCATTAATGAATAGTCAAGACTCTGCAAACTTGTAATCGCATTTTTCATATGCAATAAAGCTACTTTAGTTAGAGAAATTTTTATGTTTGAACTTCCCTCCTCCAAGTCAAGAGATTTTGGACCAAAATGTGGTTTAAAGTCTACAATCTTTATGATCAAATAAATCACATCATTCATATTCACATAAAAGAAGAAATATACGAGGATCATTAAATGTCTGCTATTTATTAACATATTAAAAAATGAGAATTATTCGTTGACACGAATAATAATCTAGGAAACTTAATTTTATCCATCTACAAAATACTTCATCAATCAAAATCATATATTAATTACAAACATTATGAATAGTTCAAACACTAAAATATGCTGCATTCATTTGATATTAGAAGCCCTTAGTCATCAATCAGACATGTTCCAAAATTTCTAAGAATAGATGCTCCAAATAGTGCAATACAGTGTTATAAATTATCTATAAGATAAAACCCTTGAATGAAATTTTATATGTAAGCCTAGCTATAAATTAAAAATAACATCAGAGACAATAATTACAAAAAATCAGTTCAAAATATAATTATTTGGCATCATCAAAAGTCCATCATTAATTATTTTCCTATGCTTGAAGGTAGTGAAAACAACATAAAAGCCATGAATTTCTTATATATATTATTCATATGGAATTTCAATAATAATAAGATTTCAGTTTTTTAATTATTTGAGGAAACGCTTCTTGTCCCTTAAGTAATTTCAAGCCCAAAAGCAACCATCGATAATTCAAAAGCAGATATAAACTGCACAAGGAACATGTTTAGGAAATTTATTACAGTAATTGCCCGAAAAACTTGTAATAATCTACAAGAAATTTAATATTTGATGGTTATCTACAGGTCCCAAGATAAACCGATTTTAATGAAAAAACCAAATCAAACAAACCATTAAAATTTGATGGTTCAGTTCAGTTTAACTGAAAATCAGTTAGATCTAAATTTGACGTATTCCTTGACCAGATATATAGTCTGGTTTAGTTTTTGACATTTTGACAAACCAAAATAAGCCAAAACAAAACAATTTCAATAGGACGTTAGAAAAGTCAATAGAGAGATGAGTACAACTCGATTTGCTTCCAAATCAAATCTTATTTGGGACGAACCAAACCGAAATCCTTAACTTCATACAAAAATCAAACCACTCAAATATGAAACTGCATTGAACCAAACAAGTAGATGCGGATTTGGTTTGATTTTCTGTTATGATATATTATTAGTATGTTGATGGTGAAACTGCCCCAGAAGAGACTAGAATAATGTAAATTTACCGAGAATTTCACTTATAAAGCTATGCAGAACGCTGAGCTTAAAATGATGAAAACACAATAAATTGAAGAGCATGTAATTTAATTGCAGAAATAAAAAGGGAACAGAGGATTATTACAAGTTATGATAGCCAAAATGTCGATGCTTAATAGCACAAATGAGTTTGATTCTGATAATGATTGCTGAGATACATTGACTTTTGGAGGAGCAGGACACAAATATAGACTGTTTACGTACCAAAATGGTGTGGTGAAAGAATAAATCTTTTTTTTTATTCGAGTTGGAAAAATAATACGCCATCAATAGTCAAGGGAAAAGTAAAGCATCTGCTTACTTGGATCTGATGTTGTATGCTGGTTCTCATTAAAGATTGACCTGGATCTATAGGCACTATTCGATGAGTTGGTAACTTCATCGAAACCAATCTCTCTCTCAAGTGTGCTCTTGAATTCCCTTGAAACTTCCTGAAGCATGACATCAGCCAATAAAAGATCTTGCACATATAAGATGATAACTGAAGCAGTGGAGAATCCATTTCTTTACAGACTTCATTGTTATTAAATGGGTTCATTAGCAAAATTGATGGAATTTTTTTCCTGTTTACTTTATTCAAGAAAAAAAAAATCAATTTCACAAACCTGAAGCTCTCTAATAGTCGGCTGGAAAGATCTCAAAGTTTTTCCTAAATTCCGGGCAACCTGCACTTTGCATACTTAATTTTAGTAGCTAAAAATAGCGAAGAGAAATCAAAACTAATATTTGTAGCACAACAAGGTTCAAGAGATCTTTCAGCAACCCATTGTTGAAACACTAACTTAATGTTGCATCCCTGGTTTTCATTTGTTTCCAGGATTTAGTAACCTGCCTGGCACAATCTGAACAAAACAGAGTAATGTATGTTCTTATCCACCGGCTTTATGCTTAGAATGAAAAATTGTTTCCTGTAATCACCTTAATCGCGCTCTGTATTCAATGAATATGAAAAGGATGTCTATGTATACATATTGACATAAATAAGCTTGCTTGTTCTTAAATTGCATCACAAGATGATTTTATGTGGGAAGCCTAAAAGCACAACTTGTGTAGAAGTGAACTAAATCCTCAATAAACGCACAACACAAAAAGAAACCAATATTTTAGAATAAAATATAAAAATTAGAAAATGATATGAATACACCAACACAAAGGAAAATTTTGCAAGACGAGATACAAAAAAAAGAGAGAGATATTCTATGATGCTAATCCTTAGGAATAGAAAAACTACAAAATAACTCGTTGGAACTCTTTTTTTAAAAGCATGGTGAATTCAGTGGAGAGGCGATAGTTTTTTTTTTTTTTTTTTCTAATTCCTGCCTCATCTACTAAATAAAATTGGAAATTTCATATAGAACAAGAGCAAACACTCTGAATGCTCTCATATAAATCATAAGGCTGCAAAGTGTCGTGATCATTGTTGTCTTCACAAATTAAGGAGAGGTAAGGATCGAGATCAACGGTAATGCTTGTAGGTGTTGAAGTAACCACTAGTATAAGGCTGGCAAGGCAATGCTTTAATACCTCCAAGTTCTGATTGAAGACCTAAATAGCCTCCAAAGTAGTAAACAGTTGGATTCAATCATTTGATTGTACTATCATGCCCGATTGTTAGATTTCATAAGATCTAGATGAGACTTGAACCATTCAAAGGAACAATGTCCAAAAATTTTGCAGGATGAAAAATATGTTGAGATGCATTCAAATTTAACTCTGCTAATGTCCACAATTTGAAAGACATTCCACGCAACCTTTCCTAAATGAAAAGTAGCATAATCTGAACAGGACTTCGTTCATAGAAGGCTATAAAAAATAAGCTGCAGCATTATCCATTTGTAAATTTTTGACAAATATAAAAGCCAAAAAATTTAGTGGATAGGTTGAAATAATCTAAACAAACTTGAGGGAATGCAATCTAAGCTAGTATTAAAGCGGGGCTCGATTCAAGTGGGAACAATGACCGAAGAAGCAAGGTTAAAGGTGGAGAAGTTCAATGGGATGAACTCCGCTTCCTGGAAGATGCAGCTTGAGAATTTGTTGTATCAGAAAAAATTCTACTTGTCACTACAAGGAATCACAAAGAAACCTGAGTCTATGCCTATGGAGGAATGAGAAGTGTCAGATCAAACGACACTGGATTTGATCAGGTTAACAATTTCCTCATTTGTTGCGTTCACATTGTGAATGAGAAAACTACGGTGAATCTGATGGCGGCATTGTCCAAGTTGTATGAAAAACCTTCTGCTTCTAAATATTTTTTTTATGAAAAAATTATTCAATATGAAAAATGGTGGAAGACAGTTCAGTGGCAAAACATCTCAATAAATTCTAAGATTGTGACTAGCCAGTTGTGTTCTATGGGGATCAAGTTCGATGATGAGGTCAGGGCACCGATGATACAATCTTCTTTGTCGGAAAGCTGGGATGGCTTGGTAACGGAGTTGAGTAATTCTTCAGGGACTTCAAAGTTGAACTACAATGATATGTGTCAGATTCTGAATAAAGAAGTTCACAGAAAAGTAGCGAATGGTGAATCTTCCGGTTCTGGGTTGAATTCAAATAACAGGGAAATGAATCTGGGCAGGAATATAGGCAGAGACAGAATGGGCATTTCAAGAAGAACTGCAAAGCTCCAAGAAAAGTTGGTGGCGAAGGACATGATAGTAGTTTCTCTACTAAAGTCTTCAAAAAAGAAATTCAAAATGACTCCTCGGTGTTATCTTTAGTCAGCATTGAATCCTAGATAGTAGTTTTAGGTGTCACTTTGCATTCTTGCCCAATAAATATGTATTCAAAAACAACACTCAGAGTGATCTAGAGAAGATTTATTTGGGAGATAATAATGTCTGCAGTATAATAGGAAATTGTGATGTTGATATCAAGTTGTCGAATGAAACAATGTGGAAGCTTACTGATGTCAGACATATTCTAAGTTTTAAGAAAAATCTTATCTCTGTGAGCCAACTGACAAAGTCAGGACTCGTGACAACTTTCACAGGTGATTCGTGAAAGGTGATCAGGGGGCCTTAGTGATGCTCGAGGCAACATTGAAGACACCATTTATCTGATCAATGAAAGACTTGATTTCATTGATGTGACTGGAACCAAAGTGGATGCAGGTCTATAGGCACCGTAAGCTTGGACATATGAGCGAGAAAGATATTAAGTCCCTACTTTCAAAGAATAAGATTCAGAGTTTGAAATCAGTTGATCTGAATTTCTGTGAAGACTGTATTTGTGACAAGCAAAAGAAAATTTCTTTCTCCAAGTGTAGCTTATTGGTGAAATCAAAGAAACTGAAGTTAGTGCATACTAATGTATGGAGTCCTACTACAGTTCAATTTATTGGAGGCTCACTATTTTGTAACATTCATTTATGTTCACATGAGAAATATATGAGTTTATCTCTTAAGGTCAAAATCTGATATATTTGAAGTTTTTAAGAAATGAAATGCTACGATAGAAAATGAGACAGACTTGAAGCTGAAGTGCCTCGGATCAGATAATGGAGGTGAGTATCGCGATCAGAAGTTCATGAATTTATATACTACATCAGGCATGAGGTCATTGTCCCAAGGCATCGTAGCATAATGGTGTGGCTGAGCGCATGAACAAAACAGCCACGAAGCGTGCTAGGAGCATGAGGTTTCATTCATGCTTCCCGAAATAGTTTTGGGCTAAAGCAGTTAATACTATAATTTATCTGATTAATTGTAGTTCGTCAATACCTTTGAAGGAAGTTTTACCTGAAGCTTGGAGTGACAAAAAAGTATGTCCATCTCATTTAAGAGTATTTAAGTGTTCTACATATGTGCATGTTGATGCAGGTTTTAGAAACAAGCTTGACTCAAAATCTGTCAAGTGCACTTTTATTGGTATGATTCAGATGAGTTTCGGTATAAGTTTTGGAATTATTAGAATCAGAAATTTATAAAAAGCAAGAATGTCACTTTCAACGAGATGGAGATGTACAAGGATAGTGTTAGAACTATGGGCAATTCGTCTGTTACTTCTGAAATATTCAAATATGTGGAGATAGATTATATTAGTGGTTAAAAGGATGGAGAAAGAAGAAGTGCTCAACCAGAAGAAGCAATGGAAGTTCCTCAGACACCTACTAAGGAAGTCAGGAGATTCGGCATAATGAAACAACTAATACAAAGGTATTCTCCTTCTTTACACTATTTGTTACTAACTAATAGTGTTGAACCGGGGTACTTTGAGGAGGCCGCTCAAGTTGAAGATTCAAGGGATTGGGAGTTCGCCATGGATGAAGAAATGCGGTCTTTGAAGTCAAATCAGCCTTGCTAAAGAAGCTAGGAGATCCAGCAGAGTGAAACAACTCATACAAATGTATTCTCATTCTTTACATTATTTTTTACTAACTGATAGTAGTGAACCAGAGTGTTTTGAGGAGACCACTCAAGTTGAAGATTCTAGGGATTGAGAGTTCAACGTGGATGAAGAAATGCGATCTTTGGAGTCAAATCAAACTTGGGATTTCCAAATGACAAAAAAATACAGCACAACAAGTGGGTCTCCAGGCTGAAAGAAGAGTCGGACTATAGCAAGTGCTACAAGGCAAGACTTGTTGTAAAGAGTTTCCGACATAGGCAAGAAGTGGATTATGCAAAGATATTCTCGCCAGTGATGAAAATGACGACTGTAAGGGTTGTGCTAAGTCTGGTAGGAGAAGAAGATTTATATCTGGAGTAAATGGATGTAAAAACAACTTTCTTATATGGAGATCTGAAAAAGAAACTAAACATGGTGCAGCCATAAGGTTTCAAGCTTCTAGACAAATAAAGTTTGCTCTGCAGATTGAAGAAGAGTCTCTATGGCTTGAAGCAGATCATGAGACAGTAGTACAGAAGGTTTGACAAGTTCATGTCAGACAATAGGTAATTGAAGTGTCAGGCAGACCATTGTTGTTTCATCAAACACTTCGGTAATTGTTAAATTTTGCTTCTTTTGTATGTATATGACATGTTGATTTTTCTCGTTCTCGAGTTTTTCCACATAAAATTCTTGTGTGTTTTTCTGATTGTTTTGATTTTTCTTATGTGTTTAAATTTATTGTTCCAATTTTCTCGAATCCTGTGATCATATTCCACTGTGAAACCAGGAGATTCTTTCGGAGTAATTTCTTCCAACAAACTTTTTGTATTCGTTCAAAACTTTTTGCCAGGTTATGAGATCCGAAAAAATATTATATATGTATATATTTATGTATTATTGATACATAATATTATAAAAACCTATCTTATCAATTTGACAGTTGTTTACATTTCATATAATGAGATGAGGATAGTGGCGGCCTTTCTGTCTTTTTTTTTTTACTTCAATTTCTCAATTTGAATCATGTAATTATGAATATGTGTGCGCATTACAAAATTACAAAAATCTTTATTTATTAACTAAATTTGAATTTTAGTCCTCTTTCAAAACTTTTTGGCTGCTTGTGAGATCCAAAAAATATTAGATACATATATATTTATGTATTATTAATATATAACATATAAAAATCTATATTATCAATTTGACTTTTGTTTATATTTCATATAAAGAGATGAGCATGGTGGTGGCATTTCTGCTTTTTTTTCCCCTAATCTTTGTCCATTTCCTCGGCTTACAAAGAAAAAAAAGAAGCATCTCATGCCAACAG